TCGGGCACTCACCAGGTCACTGCAGTAGCCGTACCACCACTGGCCCACTCACCAAACCTCGACATGCACATATAAACCTTGCCAATCAACTCCGTCCCCTCCCTCTCCACCACCCCCCATACGAAAGAAGACGGCCGTGTCTTTTATCGCGGGGTCGCCACGCCACGATCGCCTGCCTGTGCGGCTCAAATTAAGGGCCGGCTCGTAGGAGGCACCCTGATAGCTCATGGATTGCACACTACAGCTGTGCTCGCGCGCTGGTGCGGCGACAGAGGCTGGGACGGCGCCTCTCCTGCGTGCAGCAGCAGCGCACGCTGCCATGCTAATTGGCTCTATTTTAGGAACGCTCCGTGAGTAGACTCAGAAAAGGCTTTACACGGGAGCAGAATGATAATAAATCAATCAGCGGCTGATTAATGTCTCAATCGCAATTGTAATTTCACATTGCTTCTGCAATCGTCCTGTTTCGTTTGCATGAATATATATTTCAGGGAAGGTAGAAATGTCTTCATTTGTCCTCTTTAATTATGCCTCGATTTCATTTTGAGTTAATTTTACGTGGTTAAAACTCGAAGCAAAACAGCAGATTTCAACGGAAGTGTTGCATTTTAATTTATAATTGTAAAATATAAGACTCGAAAAGGTACTTCAGCAAACTTGATAATTAGGGATATTTTAGATTCTATTTTCCTGCAAGCGGTCATAATATAATACAGTATTTTGTTCAGTTCATGATATACGAGTTATTTTTAAGATGCCTATGACCAAAGAACCAGCAAAGTATAGGACATGAATGGGTGACCACCAAGGATCAAGAAACAGGTGGTCAAGACTGCTGTAAGCTTATGTTGTCAGCAGAAGGCAGTGCATCACAATCAATTGGTGAAGTGTGGTCAAATAATAATAGTTTACAATCATAAAAAAAAGTAAACATGTAACTACAATCCAAATTTATCAGCTACAGATCTTTTAACAAGCAACACTTATAAATGTTCACATAGAGAGAAATAATGCCGTTTATTAATCAAACAATTGCCATGGATAATACATATTTAATCACGTTAATTTAATTTTGTATTGATTATGTCCTAAAGGTGTCCGTCTTAAAACTGAAAACAAAATGATGGCAACCAGCTCTAATTAAATTAAATTATATTCCGGCATAATTGGTGGTAACATATTCAATAAAGTAATCCAGAGCTAACACAAAATACTCTTCTCTGCTTTTTGCATTTAAATTCTGCACCAATTTCTATTATAACAGGATTTCTTTTTTTGCATTACTTACAAACCCAATCTTTTTCAAGGAACGAGGATGAACCAAAAATAGCAATGTTACTGACAGACAGATTGATGTGCATAGCAACAGCAACATCAATGCAACTATTGCGACATCACTCCCCCGGTGACAGAACCAACAGAACTCAAAGCGCCAATCAGACCCTGCCGCATAACACAACCAAAATTGTAACACGACATAGAAATTGCTAACGCAAAATCCAATTAGGCAATATTGGCACATCCTCAAATTCACTGCTTTTGTCTGTCAATCATTTACCAGTGGTTATCCAGTCAGCTCCTCGCGTTTTGGAAACCAAGTGACGTGGGTTGCTGTTGCCACCACGTTTTGCGAAGAAGCTGCCTCGTCTACAGCAAATCTCTAGTGCTTCCAAACGCTGCCCTTTGGATGTGTGCATGAGTGCATGTGCACGCACGTGTGCACACGTGTGCGTGTGTGGGCATGTATGCGTGTGAACACGTATGGGTTTGGTTTGTTGTCCTCCCCCGCACCTTCGATTAGCACGTTTGGCTTCGTAGGGCGCAAAAGAAGTTCAACATGTATACGTATGTGCGTATCTGTGCGGTGATGCTGCACGCCTGCAATCCAGCACGATGGATGCAGCAAGGGATGGTGGATCGCACACATATTGCGAAACTCCCTTCCCAAGGGAGTCATAATAACATCCCCTAGTTTGCCAGGAGAAGCCAGTACAGCAAGTGGACTATTCTCCATCTGCATGGGGAAAGAGTGCTGCTCCCTCGCAAGTGGGGTTTCCTTGGGTACTCAGGTTACTTGCCACTTGCAAAAACACTCATTCATTGGCTGAAAACAGCTTTGAAAAATTCCAATGCAGCAGGACCCTCGTGAAAAAAAAGAGTCATTGGACTCAGCATGTCTTTCCAAAATAAAGAGAAGTATTCATTGTTATATGTCCGTGTGCGCATGTGTTTGTGTGCGCAAGTGTGTATGTGAGCCAGTATGCATGTGAGCCAGTGCGCATGTGTGCATGTGAGCCAGTGTGCATGTGTGCATGTGAGCCAGTGCGCATGTGAGCCAGTGCGCATGTGTGCATGTGCAACTCGTTTGGACATGACGGCTGATAGCAAGAGCATCTGCGTCGCCGAACAACGGCCTCAATTGATGCACCCTATTTTAATGCCCTGTGCCACAATTAGGTATTTTGTCAGCTGCTGCCGTAACTTGTGCAGTGTAACGCACTTCAGGGACAGCGGCGTGTCTCTTAGTTTTATCATTCCACTGCTGGCTGGATGCTTCCCCACACCATGTTGATTTTGAAGGTTTGTTTGACTAAACTTCAACAGGTGGGTCAGTGCGGGTTGGTGAATTGGGGAAGGGTGGGAGGGGGCAAGACCAGTTCAGCTCTCACCCGCCAATGATGTTAGGCATGGGGTTGTCACGCAACCCACACAGCCGCACGTACTGTGTAAAATACTTGCTTTATAGGAGGAAAACGGTGCTCTACAATATTGCCAAAGCTCATTATGCAGTAGACACCCTCGTTTAAATCTGAGTGCTAGATGAAAATTGACAACGCCAAATTAAATACTGAGAACTTACCATGCCAGTAAAACCATAGCACATGTTGATTACCAAGTAATCCGTCCAAGTGCTCAAATTCCATTCAAACAACTTGCAATGGGTTAAGGATCTTATATTGCACCTTTACTAGAAAGAAAAAAAACAGCTGACTATTTGTAGCTGCGGCCTCACCACATCAAATGGAAGGCACAATACCAGCCCAAGAGCTTAACGACTCACTGTACCTAGTAACTGTCAACTGCACACAGGGCTATCAGATATCATTTTCACATTCCGACCATACCGCATACAATGTGGCACGAGCCATATAAAATAACTCAGGATTTGAAAAGAAAAAGGTCAATACAGTGTTAATGAGACGTAAAACAGCACAAAGTCACAAAAAAAGCCCTTTTACGCATTGCTTGCGTGTCATACAAATCAAGCGAGATGCACCCAATCGTGTCAGATCTTGGAAGTTAAGCAGGTTTGAATCTACTAATGTGTTTGTCGTGGACAAATTGGTTTTAATAGGGCTGTGGATCTACGTGTTGGACAGCAGCGGGCTGTAAGCCCATTGTCTGCAATTCCACATTCACACATCCATGCTTCCCCATCTTCACCAAACCGGACTGAATCAGTGTGATGCAGTTTGGTAAAATAACCTCCACGACCAACATGGTATGGGGAGGCCCCTCACCCAGTAGTGGATACTTAAGATGGCCAGGGTGGCTGTCTTGTACTCTGGGCCATCATGGTGGTAGTTGTTGGCAGGCGGATGAATAAATTTCGATTTCAAGCTTTCGTGACTGCAGGGATTCATATTCTTGGTTCTTTCGATAAAGTCACGTAGAAGGGAAATAATAAAATAATAATAAATAAAACATAATAAAAAATAGGCTGATGTATAGTTTGGTGAAGTACGGTACTCGGCAATTCTTGTAAATGAACACAGGACTTCCCACCATTTCTATTTTTGTTTAGTTTGCTCCTATAATCCAATGGGGATGCGTGGGCAAGCCATTCATTAAGCCGAGTACGGAAAGCTGGAAATAAAGATCAATTAGCCACTTCAGCTGCCAGCGCTTGCGGCGCCTAACATCATTTCTCGCATATTTGTACATTTTAAGAGAGAAAAAAAACATCACAGCAACCTCCCGGCGCTGGCTCCAGCTCAGTAGACAAGAAGAGATGTCACAAAAAGCAATACACGATGGAGCCCATAGGCAGCGTCTGCATGGCTGAATATTTATTTTTTGGAAACCAAATTAGAGTCAATGGGAGCTATTTTAACAATTCAATAAGGCAGCATCCTTCCAATGACAATGCTTTTTCAATAACTTTTCCACTGCGTAGAATTTCCAGCATTTTTTCACTTTACAGTAGAGTGAGTAGGGTAAAAAACACCAATGACTGTGGCACTCTGGTTCAGAAATGCAAATAAAATTTTGGTAAATTCTAAACCGTGTAGCACAGAATGCAACAATTCCATTGTAGTCCAGACTCAACCAAGACCAGGTTCTGTGCAATATTAAGCCTGCAGTACGTGTGTATTGCATCTTTAGAATAACTCAGCATAATTGTTACTATGTAATGTGCAAGTCGATCAAGCTGAATAATAAGTGTTGAAATATACGGCCTCCAGCAACAGCAACAACGGTTATGCTTCATCATCTGGAAATGCATCCAATGCACAGTAAATGTGAATTAACCTTTTGTATCTCTGCAGCCAGTGCTGAACTCCAGGTCGTGTGGGCCACGCACAATTTCACAACCAATCTGTACTATTCACCTGTAAACTTTTACTTGCATGCATGCATGTTTTTTTTTTTATTATTACCACTGGAAGACTGCGTTTAACCGGTGAGGTCTAAAATCCCCATCCTTTAATTACGCACATCAAGTATGGCATTTCCTCACATTAATAATGAATGCATTTTATTTTCTGCAATCAGATTTATGCGCAGGTGATGGAAGGTGATAGGGAAATAAGTACATAGCACTTTCACAAACAAAGGATATAAAATACAACTGATGAGCTGTGATACACACAGCGCTGCATATTTGAAATTACATGAATAAATGATCAGTGAGGCCCTCATCCAGTCTAACTTAACAGAGATGCACATTTTCGGGGTAGATTTTTTTTCACGTTAAAATCAGAATTAAACATCCTTACCGAATACAAGAACTCTGCACAGGCGCGAATTCCTTCTTGTAAATGAAATCAACACATCCAAGCCTTGACCACCAGCTAGGAAAAAGAAAACAAGCGTAATGAATAAGCTATTTAAAAATGCCAAACCTCAGCGTGACATGCAGCAATCAACCATGCGTGTAAAATATGTTTGCAATGGCACAAAAGGTTCGACAAAACCAACAATTTGAAGAAAACATGCAGCCACAATTCACAGCACTGGACATGTCACAATCCATGACAATGCAGATGCCACAAGTGGCCACAACCAATGCTAATGAAGGTGCCATAATGGAGATGAAAGAGGCCGTGCAAATATTGGTGGCAGGTCAAAATATTGCCCACGCTACTGTACGTAGCAAAAATTGTTCCAATGACGTACTGAAATAGCACTGAAGAGCCATAACCCATTGCAATTAAGGTTCCACCAGCCGTGCTAACACCTGAATTTAACAAGTCATAGCAATTAAAAGCTTATGTACACATGTGCACATATTAACTGACCATACTTCACCATGCTGCTAAGCGCAGTTTGTGAAGACAGGGATAGTACTATACTTTAAAGGCATTAGAGAAAAGTGCAATTGATTTAGCTACACTCCCCCTCTGAGGTTCAACGTGTACCCACGCCGCAGCCTCTAACACCTGAGTTGTACATAGTGGTCCACCATCCAATCACTCTACAGTCTCATCTCTGCTTAGCTTTCGAGATATGACGAGTTGGGATGTATTGATTTTGCCACGGGAGAAAATATCATCAAACCCCACTGTAATGTAGGTGCCGTAAATGAAATTTAAATTCTAATGGCAGTGCAAAAAATATAGTCCATTGCAAAGGTGGTGCCACAAAGCCACTGGGCAATGAATGTGCCACAATCCGGAGCAATGTAAATTTCACAAGGCGTTCCAGTACAATGAAAATGTCACAAGCCATGGTAGTGAATGTGCCAAAATGATAATGAAGATAACACAGGGGGGCAGTGGCAATTATGATGCCACAACCCACTGGAAATGTCACAGACCACATAAATTAAGGTGACACTCAAATTGCACCAATCATGCATCGCTTACCTGGACAAAAAAAAAATCAGTCTTGCTCTACTGCTGCGCTTGAGGCTTCCTTCTGCCGTGGCTCGTGTTTGTGCTGCTGCAATTGTTGTGGCGATTGAAACTGTTGTTGTGGTTGACCAACACCGCTATCGTGGGCGCTCACCCACCCCAACCACGGCGGCTGTCGATTTCAGAGGAGGAGCCCAGCCTGCACGCAGACACCACCAACCCAAACACCTGGCAATGGCAAGTCAAGCGTCGTCGTGGTGCTGTTGGTGGCCACGACGCGACACCAGCGGCGCCGATGCGTCGCTGCTTCTTCTTCTGCTGCTCCTCCTCCTCTCAGTCGGCGCTGTCACCATCGTCGTCAAAATCACCATCGTAGTAATTGTGCAGCAATAAACCAGCCCACCGTCACCTCACCACAAACCACCCACCCACCTTACTCACCTACTAATCCCCTCCTCGCTGCTGCCTCTGCGTTACATAAGCCCCCCCACCATCACCACCACCACCACCACTTTTACACGCAGCTCAGCCCGGCAACGCCAATCATTAATTGCCCCGCCATCCCTGCTGTCCACGGCTCTCTCTCTCTCCTGCTCGCTGCCTGCACTCCTCCACCCTCCTTCCCCCTCCTCTCCTCTTCCTCCACGGGGTCTCCTCCCTGGCTGTCTCCCCGCCGATTGCCCTGCTCAGCCCAGGTGGTGACCCGCGGCCCAAATGCCTCTCTCTGCTCGTGGGGTCGCCGGTTCAGCCGGCGGCGGCGGTGGCAGCAACGGCGCACCAAGTGGCCCGGCGTGACGTCACCCGCGCCGATTGACAAACAAACTCCCGCTGCGGTGACGTCAGACGCCGCTTCGGTCGCGAGAGCCGTTTACAAGTTTTTGACGTCACGAGCGTTAAGACTGGCGTTCCGGAACGGCGCGGTGACGTCACCGCAGCGAGAGGGGTCGTTCTAGCGTGTGGCGATGACGTCATAGTTGCGATGCGCGCGACGCCTTCGACGTCATGTAACGCAGATATGATTCCTTGTAAAAGGTTTCAGTTTGGCGTTTAAACATCTTGACACCTGTTTTGTTGCCAGAAAAACAGGGGGGGGGAAACCTGTTGAGTGGACCTCTGGTGAAGAAATCGATTCCATTATTATCGATTGCCCTGCTGTGAGTGACAATTTAATTGCCACGATTTATTTGAACTCGATTGAAAAATGGGTTTCCCTTAGATTCAGGGTAAAAGGAATGGAAGTAATATGTTAAAATAATAGAGAGACAGAGAGACAGAGAGAACAAACGATAAACAATACAAACGAGAAAGCACGCGCACGACACAAAGAGACTCGATTATTGATTCAATTCTCGACCCAGATCAACCGTGGCAATTCAGTGAATTAATGAGATCGTGGTCGCATCCAAGGAAGCAATAACAATTGATACGTTTCAAACAACAACAGCAGCAAACACGCACCATGAATAAGGTGTCAAATGCCATGATAATTGTTTTTTTACCCTTCTATCTGGCAACAAAACTGACACCTTTTTTTACAAGGAGTCATGTTTGCATAAACCACAATACCTGCAGTCATAATGCAAACAAAAAACATAACTCTGATAATGTATGCACTGTCCTTGAAGTTGATTGGTCCACACCCGAGACAGCTTTCCTGAGAGCCTAGTCTCACATGGGTTGGACCAGATGACGCCAAAAGGTGCACAACTCAAAGACAATGCACCATCAGAGTATGAGAGCTCGGGGTAAGCCTTTACACCATTGAAACCTCATTTGCCAGTAAAAAATATGATAGAAGGGTAAAAAAACAATTATCATATTTTTTACTGGCAAATGAGGTTCCAATGGTGTCAAATGCCCTCGGCAGTTCCTGAAGAAGCGCATTCCAGTAAACACGCCAAGGTGTGGGTCAACGTTGGCACCAACGTTATCATGTGGTTGGAAAACCATTTAATTGGCCCAACGTTTGCCCAACCTTGGCGTGCTCACTGGGATTTGGGTTACTCTTGGCTTTCGCGTGATCCGGCGTCGCTGAAATTCTGGGTATCAGACACACAAAATGGGTTCACAATCGCCGTGTAGTCGATAGTCCCAGCGCGGCCGTCATCGATGGCTGCATAAAACCCACACCTGCCAACCCCTTATCAGCGCCTACCTTACGAGACCAATTCAGACATTATGGGTCACCCCGTGGCCTTATAAATCTCAACGTTCATCCTACAAAGCCCCATCACAAGGGAGAAACACAAACAAACGGACAAAAAATATATAATTCCTCGTCACAGCCATCTCCTAGACACACTTAAGCGGTTGTGCTTTCGCTACGTTGTCCCCACCTGAAGAAGGACGCTTGTGTTGCGCCCGAAACGTCGTGATTTAATTTAGTTGTTTTCATTTATTTAATAAAAACTTTTACCTACGTGACTTTACCGAAAAAACCAAAGAGTATAAAAAATATGTTGCCCGTATTGAAACGGCTGTACGCCGTATGGACCTGAAAACTCAATTTCCCTGTACAAGTGGAGTGGGTTCTTCAGACGCCGTAGACGGATAGTTGAGGCAACACTTATTTATTATAAAACCGACTTGTTAACACAACACCTTCTAACAGAAAGGTTAACGGCCCTTCCACCCACAAGCTAAGGGGACACAATTCCCCACGGAACTCGCCCTCTTCCTAAGCTAGGGTCTTGGACTAGTCTGACCTGACCGCGCCAAGGTGCAGGTCTCGACCACTGGTTACACGGACCCGGCCCTGACAAGGACTGCGGGCTACGAGGCTCCAGGGTCATGCCACTGGCTCAGTCTGCCCAGCCCTGACAAGGACTGCGGGTCAGACGAGTCCAGGGTCCTAGGCTGGCCGGCCTTGTGTCTTCACTGGTTCTTCAGTCTTCGCTGGCAGCACTGCCCAGACCCTCTCGGGCTCCTGCCTTTTATACATCTCCCCACCGAGGGGCGGGGTTCTGTGGGATCCCAGGACACCCCGCAGCCCCCACCCGTTGGGAGGGGCGCGGGGGATCCAAACACCCCACAGCCCCCTCCCCCCGGGAGGGGCCCCGGGGGATCCCAGGACAGCCCCCACCCGCCCCGGGCTAGGGATATCGTGATTGCCCCCTACAGGTAAGCAGTGGGTGCTAGCCGGAGATGGTGTACGTTCGTCCAATAACACCATTACACAAGTGTAGTGTTGAACATGGAGGCACACACTTGGCTTGGAGGCAACACGTTTATTACACAGCTCCAACAGGGCTAACTACATAAACGTACAAATGCTAAATAGACCCCAACAGGGTAACAAGGTTACTTTAACAGGGTAACTACATAACCGGGTCAGTCAGTAACATTCTGACTGACCCATGATGCCGAGCGAAGACCGAAGATTGAAGAGACGTAGCACCGAGGGTTGATTCCAGAGAGCAGCCAAGAACGCTCTGGGGACTGCCCCTTTATGCTCCTGGGCGTGGCCTCGTTCTGCCTTCGGCCACGCCTCCTTCGAGACCTTTCCCGAAGGATCTCGACCAAGCATCACGTGTCCCTCAAGCCCCCCTCGGGCCTACTTTACTACCCTGTCCCGGTCACGTGCCCTCTCGGGTTCACCCAGACTACCATGTCCTGACTTGCCCTCTCTCAGGCCGTCACCAGGACTATGCTCCCGAGGTCCCGTTCGCATGCCGTACTCACTCTGGCCCCAGAGAGAGAGATCCTAGACCAGGGGTCGGGAACCTTTTTGACTGGGAGAGCCATAAAAGCCAAATATTTCTAAATATATTTCATTGAGAGCCATATAGTATTTTTAACGTATAATAAATTAAATGTCTTACTTTTAATGCGACTTCTGGTGCTATATGGTTTTGCTGATGGCCTTGTAGTCTGGTTCATACGTGGTGAGGTTGAGCTTCATGCAGGCTTGACCCGTGAAATTTATCTTCAAAACTAATTTCTGTTTACTTTAAAATGACACCATAGTATTAAACAATATCACAAGTATTTTAAAATCAGTTCCAAACTGATTTTTTTTTTCAACTCAAAATTGTCTGGGAGCCATATGCCGTCACTGGAAGAGCCATATATGGCTCGCGAGCCATAGGTTCCCGACCACTGTCCTAGACGCACAGTAGCACTCTTATGACAGTGCCTGGCGCTAACACCATAGTGACACCCTTAAGGTCACTACACAAGGATACGGGTAACCCATATGGGTTGACAGGTATGAAAACCCCACATCAAGTCCGATCTAATGTTGTTAAATTCCTGCTCTGAAATGTAAAATATCGGTTTTGACTGTCATGCAACAATCATTAGACTCTGCAGCGGAGTGGGTGGGAAAGAGCTGCCCCCCCCCCCCATTACACGTTGATCAGAGTATACTTGACATTTTAGCATGTAGGCTTTCACGACCATTATCATCCATAATACAGGTTTTTTTGGGTTAGATCGAGTAAATATATAGATGTGTCGTTAAATCCGCTACCACCCGACACAGCCAATAAGTAAGGTTTGTCACATAAACAGAACATGTCAATTGGTTACTAATACAGCACACTGGTATGTTGGAGGGTTCCGGTCAACGAGTCAATTAAACTACTCGATACTCTGTGAACAAACACAGGTTTAGCCAAAGATGTCCCATGACTAGCTGAACACTGTCAAAGAACACCTAATTCGTGTGTGAAGGTGACTTCAATAAACAAAGAGATGGAGCAGCAATGGGCTCTCCTTTGTCTCCTGTGATAGTGAATTCGTACATGGAAGATTTTGAAACAAAAGCAATAGCTTCAAGCACACTAAAACCCTCTGCGTGGTTTAGATTTGTGGATAACACATTTGTGATCCAGCCACAGGGCAAAAATACACTTTACGAATTTCTAAATCATCGCTATTCGCAAAAAACCCATCCATCCAGTTCACCATGCAAGTGGAAGGTGGCAGAACCACCATACATGACACAATGTCAGCTACATGCAAAGATAACCTGATTTACAAGTTCAACCTCCTTTCCAAGAAGAAGCCAGATCCGCACGTTAAAAAGTTCGACGTTGACAAGATTGTTATCAATCAGAGTAACAGTCTAATTTCTGACAGCCTAAAATCGGTTCTAGCTAAAGGGCTGAATTTTGCAGTCACCCCTAAACACATCCCAGTTGAAGATATCATTGCCCAGGTTGACGTAGCCCTTAAGGGTTTGGGATACATCACTGCAGACGTGGCAAGATCGGAAATCACTGCACGTATTAGAAACATCAGTAACGATGAGCACATTGAGCTTTCCCAATTAACAAGTAAACCCGTAAAAACAAAGTTTTTCACTATAAATCCTTTATATGCATGGCATCGGGCGGCTAGAGTATTCTCGTCCTCTGGCTTGAGATGGCTGCCACCTATGGGTCAGATGATTGTCTGGCAGCATTAAACAATTGGTAATTAAATATTAAAAAATTTTCCCCTAAACAAGGTACAAATTTTTTTTTCACGAAAATGCATTGTCACGCACAACGAGTCTGTGTGCAAAATGTCAGCTCGATTGGATCACGGGAAGTGGGTCAAAAAACGACCGAAAGATTTGCACGGTCCTAAGCAAGCAATCGAACTTAATATAAAGGATTTAAAAAAGAGAGATGACATCGTCATCCTCTCAGCCGACAAGGGCAATGCCACAGTCATCATGGCCAAAACCACATATAATAACAAAATTCAGAACCTACTTAATGATGGTAGCTGTACAAAAATTTAAAGAGATCCCACCAACAGCCTCGTTACAAAAAACAACAATATCACCGATTAAAC